ATAAGTACAAGATAAAATTTTATCAACAAAATGAAAAGTTTATTCTTAGAAGAATCAACAAAAAAGGCAGACTTTTGGCAAGTTTGATAAGGGAAAAAAGACATGAATATAAAATATTTTTAGAAATAAGAAATGTGACATAACTAAAGATATAGAAGAAAGTTTCGAAAGATAAAACTATTTATAACAATATACCAGTACGGGTAAAATGAATGGTTTCCTAAGAAAATGTGGAGTAAGTGAATTGACTTAAAAGGAATTAGAAAACCTAAATAGACTGAGAACCTAAAATTAAATTGAAAAGATAGTCAAAATATATCTATTAAAAGAAAACCCTAGGCCCAGACCATTTTATGGGAAAGTGTTACTCAACTTTTAAGAAACAATAATGTTAACTAACCTACCCATATGAGGGAACAGACAGAAAACATCCTGTCAGCTTAATGAAACCTAATACCAAAACGGGGTGAGAAAACTGCAAAAAACAAAAAACACAATAGGCCAACCTTACTTAGGAATATGGCTAAAAGAAATTCTAAAATTAATTATAACAAATCAAATTCAACAGTATATTGAATGAATAATGTTTCTGACATAGCAGAGTTTATCCCAGAAATGCAAGGATGGTTCAATATTAGAATATCTCATAATATAATTCATTCTGTTAACAAATTAAATATGAAAAACCCTATCATCAACTTTTTAGTTGCTTAAAGAAGCATTTGATAAGATTCAATGCCCTTTGCTGATGATAAAACAAAAATAAAAGAAAATAACACTCTCTGAAAACTTCTGGAATTTGATAAGGAATTTCATCTAAAAACTTGGATCAAACATCAAGGTTCATAGTGAAATATTTGAAGCATTTCCATTTTAATTAGGAACAAGACCAAAGTGCCACTGTGACCATCACAATTGAAAGTTATAATAAAGGTCCTAATCAACATAATAAAATAATGGAAGAAATAAAAATACATATTAGCATAGATACTGGAAAAGCAAAGACAAAACTATCATTATGCACAGATGATATGATTATTGACACCTACCTGAAAAACTCAAAAGAATCAGCTAAAAAACACAACCAACATAAAAGTCTGGTAAAATTGATTGCATAAAATATTACCATACAAATACCAGTACATTTTCTATACACCAATAACGATCCATCAGAAAAGATAATGGGAATAAATATAATAGAATAAAACTAAAATGTAACCAATATACATGTCAATAAATATCTTTGCCATTAGAACAGAATCTGATATCATTCCTAAAGAAACCAGAAATGCTTTATACTGAAAATTAAATGTCTTTTAAAGAACATAGATTGTAAAAATTTGTTTGAAGCTTTGCTTATCTTCAACCAAATTAAAAAGGAGGAAAATTTCTTGGTCAAAAATTACATGTAGCACATTTTCATCTTTTCTCTTCTGTTGCTTTTATTTTATCCATGAACAAACCAGTCATAAACTACCAAATATTAAAAATCTCAATTAAATTTTAGCTAAAATCTCTAGATAATATATAATAAGACAACATAACATTTATATCACATGTATTGATAGAAATATTTTATGTCATGATGTAATAATATATACTTTTCTTTTTCTTCCAGGGCAAACGAGCCCCATTCACAAATTTTGACCCCTCTACACTTCTTCCTTCATCTCTGGATTACTGGAACTACTCTGGGTCTCTGACTCATCCTCCTCTTCATGAGAGTGTAACCTGGATCATCTGTAAGGAGCACATCAGTGTGAGCTCAGAACAGGTAGAGTATCAAAGACGAATGAGTGGAAACTGGAAATGCAAAGCAGGAATATCGCTTCAACTAATAGTATCAGTAGGGGAGATTATTATTTCAATGAGGTTTGTGAGAAGTTTATTTTCCCTTCCAATTGAAAATGACTAATTTCTGGCACAGTTCTATTGAATTATTAAAAAATGTGCATTATAATACTATTTTTTTACTTTATGTAGAAAAAAATAAGAGAGTCAGAACTCCCACCATTCTTTCCTCCTTAATAAGTTACAATCCAACTTTGTCAAATATCTTATTAAGGGTTTCAGAGACAAAAGAAAAACTGTGACTAGAAGTTTCACTAAGACTTTGGGGAATTGTGGTCGTCAACCAACATATCTTGGCAGTTGGCAAAATATTTTTTTTTTTTTTTTGGAGTTTAAGCTTTTAAATATCCAACAAAATGTCTCATTAATTACTGTTTATAATAATGATAATAATAATTATCATTGATTGAGCAACTACTTTTATTAGGTGTCTTGTGTATGTTTCATCAGCCAATTCTCATAACACATCTAAAAGACAAGCACTGTAGCCTATTGCTGTCATATGTCGAGCACATGCTATACACACATCATTCCAAGTACTTTACAGGCATTAACCCATTTAATCTTCACAACAGCACGATGAAAAAGGTGCTATATGGAAACTGAGACACCAAGATGATAAGTCAATCTCCCACAGGACTCCAGTTTAAGTGAGAAAGTTGGTATTCTAACCCAGTCAATCATCAATAATTTAAGCAAAATGCCCAGTTCAAAGGAATGTGAAGGATTTGGGGCTTCCTCCCTTCCCACTGGTGAAACCTCAGTTTTCTAAATATCAGAGTATCAATAATACTAGAAATAAAATACTTTGTATAACTTTAATAACTTGATTTTTTACATATTTCATCCTCCTAGCTGGCACAGTTCCGCAGTCTTCTGTCGAATGCCGAAGGTGAAAATGCTGTCCCCATACTGCACAACAACCGACCGCTCCAGCCTCTGAAGGGCAGAACAGTGAGAGCTTCATTTTCATGAGCCCAAGAAGGAACTTCTCCTTCCTCAAGAACACAGCCCCGCTTCTGACATAATCCAGTAAAATAATAATTTTTAAGAAACAAACTTATTCCAATGCTAGCAAGACAACATACCTGTAAATTTAATCTATAGAACTAAAATACTTAATTTTAGTTCTTAATGCTTATGCTCAAATAATAATCTGTAAGCTTGCAAGTACTAGTCTGTAGGCATAAATTTATGCTTAAATTCAAGTTTATTTTGTGGAATTCTTCATAATTACAAATCAAATGATTTGTATCTCTTCCTATTTTGTTCAGTTTAGTTGAATCAATAAAATAATTTTATCTTTCTTTTTTGTCTATTGTGCACTCTATTTTTAAAAACTAAGTTTCTACTCCATTTACATTCAAAAATCATAAATACCTTACTTGCAAGAGTACTTTGCCTCAAATGTAATGACCTAAAATCAGCTCGAGATAAAATACTGAGAACCTAATACTGAGATCAGCTTGAGATGAAATATTGAGAAATTCATTTGCTTACTCTTGAAGGCAAATATATAGCTAACATGACAACTGGATTGAATATTATTATTCTGGCCCAACATTTCTACCATTTCTGTTCTCTGTGATAAAAATGATATCTTTTATACAGAAAGATGATGCTTCTGGATATTGCTTTCATTTTTCTCCCCACATTAGCAAGACCAATGCTTTTCTGCCATTAATACAACTAGTTCAGTTTGCATGGAGAATCTTTAAAATTGGAAGTCACAAGTGAATGGTTTATAAAAATGCTGAAGGAGTCATTTGGGCTTAGAATCATACAGAAACAGCATGCAAGATTTTAGTCAAATGTACATTGAATCTCAAGCTAATTCCTTTTTTATTTTTTAATTGACACTTATTACACATTTACGGGGTACAGTATGATATTTCAATTCATGTATACAATGTGTAATGATCAAATCAGGGTCATAAAAATATCCATCACCTCAAGCATTTATCATTTCTTCATGTTGGGGACATTCAAAGTCCTCTCTTTTAGCTATTTGAAAATATATTATACAATAAGTTATTATTAACTATAGTCACCCTACAGTGCTATAGAGCAATAGAACTTATTCCTCCTATTTAGCTGTAATTTATCAAAGCCAGTTCTTTTTGAAGCCATATCTACATCCAGAATTTTGCAAATCTGGTGCCCGATGTTTAGTCTTACAATTTACTTTAGTTCTCTAATCTGAAATATTAGAGACCAAAGCCCATTCTAATGTTCTTGTCTTGTCTAATATAGCAGAATCAGTCAAAACCTCTAAATAACTAAATCAAAGTTAAGAAGACAGACCAAGCAGACTCTTGCTCTGAGGGAGACTTTATGTAAAGGCTGTGTTTGTTTTGCACCTAATCACCATACTAAGAAACTTCTTTGAAGTATTCGATTTGGGGCCCAGAACTTAAGCGAATCTTCTTTATTAAAATGTAACGTGGGAGAGGGTATGAGGAGGCGCCGGGACTTGGGGTTTTTTTCTACATAAAGTTGGAAAAGCAAAAAAAAACCTTGATTTAAAAAAATAAATAAAAATGTAATAAGCCCAAGTAATACATTAGCTCTGCTCCCACAAGCATTCTATAAACATAAAATACTTTCTTTGTCAAGATAACCTGGCTGTGTATAGTACTCTATATTTGCAAAATACTGAGAAAGCCTGAAACAGTCACACCTTTCCTATGATCCTATTATTTCACACGAATCATACTGACAGGAGTTGGTTTTAACTGATCAACACCTAAGTACACATATAAGAATAACATTTATCGGGCGTCGGGCAGATGGGAGGGGGAGGAGGGGATGGGTATATGCATACATAATGAGTGCAATGCGCACCATCTGGGGGATGGTGCGCTTAAAGCTCTGACTTGAGGGGAGGCAAGGGCAATGTAACCTAAACATTTGTACCCCCATAATATGCAGAAATAAAAAATAAAAAAAAATCAGCAGAGGTTACCTCCAGGAAGAGTAGTGGGAGTAAGTAAAAATAAAGATAGCTTTTAACAGTTAAAAAAAAAGAAATTCTAATGTTATCAAAGATCATTGTGACAGCCAGAGAAACACGGATATGGGTTTAATTTGAGAACACATCAGCAAAAGGTGTTCAGGGCCTATAACACTTAAAAAACATTTTCTGAAAAGAAATTAAGCAATTTAGAAATAAATTTCACAGGAAGGACCTGAAAAGTAATTGACCTGATGACCCATATATTTTTTAAGAAGGTCAAAATGGACAACAGGATTTATCTTTAAGTCTGTAAGTCTTATGAAAGGGCAAAGATATAACAGGAAGTATATGATGGTTTTCAAACTTTATCCCTAAGCCAAATGCCAACTGGGAACATGTTTCCCCTTACTGCCTCTGCCAGAATTTTATATCGTTGGCAGAACTCACGAGGTACATTACAAATTTCTCTGAAGTAGCTGATAAAAACAGCTGTTGAGAGAAATACGTGGACTAGGCATTGGATCATCTGGGAATTCAACCCCTATGTTTCACTGACTTGCTCTCCTGCCACATACCCACTTCTCTTGCCAACTTGGGTAGAGGAATTGAATGTTCTGCAAGGGTTCTCTGGTTTTTCCATGATGTTTGGCAGCTGACCCACTTTACGCCAAATCTATTGGGCTTCTCAGTATCCAGAATGACAATGCCAGCTGATGGGGCCCAGGGTAGGCTCAAGGGTAGAGGGTGTTTCTACGCTCTGCTGTTCTCTGTCTTAGCGCCTGCCCCTCAGAAATGCCATGCTGAACACTTATGGCGCCCACCTGCTGATTTGTGAGTCCAGGTAGCTCAAAACATTTCCTACATTGTTCATTTCTGTAAAGTTTAGCGTAATAACTCTAAAAGCATTAAATTCATCACAGGGGAATTAGGACAAAGGAAAAGAATATCTTCTTTAAATTTAATTTCCTTACATGGCTCAAAAGAGCATGTGTCTATTTACAGCACAACTCTAGTAACTCCGTATCAGTGGTTCTTCACCATTTTGTGATCACGGATTCCTACAAATATTTGATCAAAGCTATAAAACTTCCTCCCTCCCCCAAAATTTACAAAATCAGATACAGCCAATATTTTGCACTGAATTCTAGAATGTTTAGAAACTCAACTTTTTCCTTCCTTCTCTATCACAAAGTCATGCCTGGACCTCAGGAAAAGATCCCTGCTCTACAAACTATAAAAAATAGGCTACAATGGACTCCCTGTCTCTCTTGAGCTAACACTTATTTTTGCTTTTATGCTTCATTCTTTATAGTAGGCACCTAGAGAGGGAATGACTGTATATTTCTGGTATAGTTCATGTGTTATCTTTTTGTTGTTTTCCCCCTTTCCAAATATTATTTTGAGTTGATATAAGGTTCCATTGTAGAAGAGATATAAAAAAAATTTTAAAAGAAAGAGAATTCAAACCTTAGTGAATTATTTTTTAGTGAATAAATGAACAAAGGCTTACAAATGAGAGTTAAAAAGGGCATATAAAAAAATTGATTTAGGAAGATATCATCAGATTAATAATGGGCCCAAATCACGTTACAAACCATCCACATTCCCTGTATCCAAGATCATGAAAGCATAAGAAAACATTTATCTTATGAACATTATCCTCATGATCATCTATAAACCCCAAATATTTATTTACCCACTGTTCTCTGTGAGACACTGCACAGGGATTTCCTTATTGCTCTTATTAGATTTGGCTATTTTAAATCTCAGTAGCTAAACAAAAATAGACAGACAGACATAGGTATTGCATAAATGACTAAATAATTGCACTTACTCCAAACTGTTCTGCTTTGGCACAAAAGAACCATAGCTATGGTATTTAACCTGTTCAAAAATGATAGCTGATTTTGTGTTCCTAGACTTAAAGCTAAGGGAAAAGATGCATAAAATAAAAAATATTTTAATAGAAATACAGCATGTTTGAAAGAAATTAGAAGTGGCCTTAAGTGTTCTTGTTTACAAATCTTGCTTTCAGTAAAGAAGTAACTCATAAAGAGTAACAGAATCTTAAAAATATGTGCATACCCTCATCCTGTACCAAAAGAGTGAATTGGTGGAAAAAGGAGTCACATTTGAAGACATTGAAATACTCAGATCACAAGTGCACTTACTAGAGATTTCTTACAGTGGCATCTGGGATGCTAATCACCTTACTATGAGAAGGTAGAAATAGCAGTTATGTCAGATAGGAATATAGTTTAAGTGGCTGTATGTTTCCCCTCAAAGACTAGAGAGTATACCATTACCAAGTCATCAACAAATATTTTAATCCCCTTTAGAAGCAGATGCATGTTAAACTATTTAGGTATATCATTTTCTGTTATGTTATTGGATGACCTGAATTGCCAACAGTAACAAATACGTGTAACGAAATCGTACCGTGCTAGAAAATGTTTAGCTGCTTAAAAAGAAAAAATGTTAGAACCTTACCTCACCAATATACCAAAATAAATCCAAGATGGATTACATTTTTCAATGAAATCATTAATACACTAGAATATAGGTAAATATTTAAATATCTGGTTGGAGAGAACTTTACCCAAAAACACCAAGGGAAAAAAACAGGAAAAAACAGGATAATTAATTCAACTATGGAAAATGTAAATATGTAGGTACAAGCAACACCAATAAAAAAATTAATGAAAAAATAACAATTGGGGAAATTTTTTTCAATATAAATGGCATACACAAGGAACCATGTCCTTGCTACATAAAAAGCTTTCACAAGTTATTAACATACAAATTTAATTTCCAAGAAAAAATAGCAAGAAGTTATAAAGAGGCAATTCAGGAAGGAAGAAATTAAAATGAACAATAAATACATTTTTAAATGTTCCATTTTAATAATCAAGGAAGCACAGATCAAAACAATGTTCCATCATTCTTTACATATAAAATTAGCAAAGATTTTTAATACACAGTGCTGTCAATAATGCAAAGAAATAATAATGTCATACATTGCTGGGAAAAGCATAAATTGGTGTAATCTATTCACTAGCAATCCAAAAGTTGTGTTCCAAAAGAAATATTATCAAAAATCATATAATAAAAACCATAGGTTCAATGTGAGGAGAATTAAGTGGTAGAATTTTAAATTTGCTATGATGAGGTCAGCTTCAAAGGCAATGTAGACTCTATTTATGTTTATGATACCCAAATTTGTATTTCTATTCGAGATCGAGTTTCAAATGCCTATATCCAATGCTTATTTGATATCTCCACTTAGGTGTCACAAGAACATCTCAAACTATTCAAAACACAAATTGTGATGCCGTCCGGAAGCTGGTTCCCCCC